GGCTGATTTGGATCCATATGTTTCATGCTATGGTTAGGTTTACCTTAATACTTCTTTTGTAGTTGCGGATGCTTGCAATAGGGGTTAATTAATCATAAGTGGGATGCTTGTCCAAGAAAGGGCAGTACCCAAGCACCAGTCCACCCACATATCAAATTATCAAAGTAACGAAAGCGAATCATATGAGCGTGATGAAAACTAGCTTGACGATAATTCTCACGTGTCCTCGGGAGCGCTTTTCTCTCTATAAGAGTTTGTCCTGGCTTGTCCTTTGGTACAAAAAGGATTGGGCCATCTTGCTGCACCTTATTTACTTTCATTACTTGTTACCCATTACAAATTACCTTATCAACAAACTATCTGTTACCGATAATTTCAGTGCTTGCAGAGAATACCTTACTGAAAACCGCTTGTCATTTCCTTCTGCTCCTCGTTGGGTTTGACACTCTTACTTATTGAAAGGACTACGATAGATCCCCTAAACTTGTGGGTCATCAACCGAACAAACAATAAGTGCGTGGGGCTAACCAGGCTGGGAGTTGTCTATTTTCTGGCCTAGCAAACAAACATGAGATTTCTCAAAGAAGAAAGCAAACAAACATGATACAGACAAGTACATAGTTTTTTTTGTGAGGGGAAGTTGTGTGCCTGTATAGGTATTTAGTTTATCTGGATCAAACATTTCTATACTCTAAAAGAAATGTGAACAATAGTGAGAGAGACAAGCACTTAGTTTTTCTTAGTGAGAGGAAACTGTGCGTGCTTGTACAAGTACTTGGATTTTCTGGATCAAAATTTTCTATACAGGCGATCAGCTGAAAATTAGACACTGTACCACACCATTCCATAACAAACAAGAATGTGAGTAAAAAAGTGATAGACTAACTTCAAGATAATTAACACAAACCGGGCATAAACATTGGCTTGTACAGACTAACTTCAAATCAAAATATGTAATGTTGTGGACTATATTAACTCAATATTTAAATCAGAATCGACACCGAAGGATTTTTATCTAACTTGATGTTTATGCTGCAAGTTCATCTCAAAGCACCAACAAAGCATCTAAGTTGATGTTTATGCTGCAAGAATGTGAGTAAAGAAGTGGAGTATTAATAAAATGCATAATATCAGGGAGATTGTACAATGCAAATTTTATGCACACAAAAGTATATGTACAGTTATATTTTTACTGGAACCACACAACAGTGCACAACTTGAACAACTCATAATCTACAGCCTATGTAATTCACATCAAGAATGGAACAGTATGAAGCTCACCCTGTTCTGCTCGAGGACCATGGCATCGGCATCGATCAGGTGGGAGATGTACTGACTATAATGTGCAAAGCAAAGATATTAGTGTGACAATTTGATATCTCATTTCATTATTACTGAAATTCAAATGTTATCTCAACTGAACCGAATTCTTTAAGAACTATGCCTTCCCAAATGTCTAAATTTACTAACTGAATTCTTAAAGAATTCATTCAATTTCATACTAACTGAACTAAGAAGGAACAATTTACAATGGGCAGCCGCACATTACTTTCCCTTTCTTCATGATGAGGTTTGTCATGCATAAATAACAAGTATCTATTTACTACTTGGAATTAATGATCTAGCATTAGAAACCTGAAGTTGTGTAACACTGACCATCCTTTGGATTAATAATAAAAAGAACATATTTTCCATCTTTGCATTGGTAAGACTAAAACAAGTATATCAGACACCATATTACTCGTACTTGAAATGTGCCAACTAAAATGAAATACCCAGGCCTCACTTGCCCTGGATGTCCTATGCTCAATCATGCAAAGTTCAAACTTATAGAATTCATGTGATATCTATCTGGTTAACCTTAGGTATGCTATCAAAGTGAAAATGCAAGCCCTATAACCTATGCTGAATATAGATCAAGAACCAAAAGTGATCAGTCACAAGCGAATGTTGCAAATAAATTTTGAGAATGCAAGTTCCAGCAATACACACGATTGTTATCAGTTCCACCAATATTCATGAACAACACGTGAAATAAAATAAGCAGATATTTAGAGGAGAGAGCAGAGGCCCAAGTGCTCAGTGAAGAAGAATGTAGGTGATGCAGCCATCGCAGTGCAGGTCGGCTACCACCGTCGCATGGTGGAGGCCGTCACATGATGCACGAGATGAACGGCCGCGCCGGAGACGCAACAAAGGAGGTCGGGGTCGATTCCATACAGCCCAACACGCGTGAGCACACCGAGCTAGGGGGCGCCATCCAGGGGTGGAGAGGGTGCAGTGTCCGACGGGGAGGAGCCGCCGGAAACGAGCCAGTGATGGACATGACGCCGCAGCCAAAACCCTAGCCACGGGCGAGGGGTTGCGGGCGAGCGCCGGAGACCACTAGTGGCGGATCCAGCCGGACCTGAGGACGGAGGGGTCGTAGACCAGCTCGTTAGTGTGCTGTGAGGTGGTGGACGTCACCGGAATCGATGGCGTTGGTCGCGGCGTGAGGGTCGCACGAGACAGGGATTTGGGTCGCAACAGGGGTGGATGGGTGGGGGATGTAGCGGATCTGACAGCTGACGGAGCTGTGATGCGAGAGAACGGGTGGGGGAGGGTCGGCGGTGAGCTGTGGGAGGAGGGATGGGAAGAGGTGGTGGGCGGCGGCGATGGGGAATCGGGAGGGAGCTGTGTGGATGAGGGAAAGAGGAGGGGCCGAGGGGGAGGGATTTAGGGTTAGCCTTTTATATGGTTGTCCATTAGGCACGCTTTAGCAGGCTTAGACGGGCTTGCGGGGCTGTACCAGGCCATTCATTATAGTTTCTGAAATTGTCACGGCGAATCCATCATGGATTGATAGATTTGTTGTAGTGGGAGAGCTTTGCTTTATATAAGAGTTTGTACATGCCTGTCCTTTGCTATAAAAAGGACTGAGCCACCTTGCTGCACCTTGTTTAGTTTTGTTACTTGTTACCCGTTATGAATTACCTTATCACAAAAGTATCTATTACCGATAATTTCAGTTCTTGCAGAGAATACCTTACTGAAAACCGCTTGTCATTTCCTTCTGCTCCTCGTTGGGTTTGACACTCTTATCGAAAGGACTATGATAGATACCCTATCCTTGTGGGTCATCACGCGGGTACCCGCAGGGCTGACCCGACTTTAGTATCATAGTTATGTGGTAAAGCCATAGTAACCATGTGTCCAAAACACCAAGGAGGACCCTAAGGAATCACCCTCGATGGAATTCCACCTGATGTAATCGTCAAGGTGAACCTAGGAGGAATCACCCTCGAGGTCCACTCTTGAGGAGTTGCACGACAGCGTCGTTATCGGGAGCGATGAAGGAGGAATTACCCTTGATGACCACAACCAATGAACTAACCTACAAGGTTAACATCAGAAGTGCTGATGAGGTATCACCCTCGGCGCTCGATAGTAACCCAGTAGTGCCGTACAACAGAGGGGGGTGATGTGCAGTGTCGGGGCCTGGACGTCGATCACGTTGATCGAGTCATTAAACATAAAGCAGGGGCAACTGAGACAAGGTGGGGTCACTAATGGATCTCTAACCAGCCTATACTAACACTACTGGAAACAGGAAATTTGCCATCAGCCAGCTCTTTGCCATCTACCAGCTGATGGCAAAGAACGTCTTTGCCATCTGCTTATAAAAAACAGATGGCAAAGAACTGACAGACGGCAAAGAACATGGTTGCCATCAGCCAATTCTTTGCCATCTGCTAGTGGATGGAAAATAATCTTTGCCATCTGCCAGCAGATGGCAAAGAGGTTGGCAAATCCTGTAGCCGTCAAGCGTGTAACGGCGTACCAGCCCCACCTCTTTGCCATCAGCCAGCAGACGGCAAAGATTCTTTGCCATCTGCTGACAGATGGCAAAGAGATGGGGTTATTTTTTTCCAGGTAAAAAAACTGTGGGGTTATCCCCTCCCTCTCTCCCCACCCATCGAGGTAAAAAAACGATGTTCGCATCTCATCCACACACCACCACCTACCTCCTCCCTCTCCGCCTCCTGCCCCTTCCTCCCACCCCCATCCCCATCCCCATCCTCCTTCGCCTTACCCCACCACCCCGACCTCCTCGACCTCTACCTCCCCACTGACCCCTTCTTCGCCCCGCCCCCCATCCCCTCCCGGCACGCCTTCCTCCTGCACGACCTCACCGACCGCGTCGCCGCACTCGAGCTCGCGGCCCGCGCGGCCGCCCCGCAGCCGGCGCGCCGCAAGTACACCTACGCGGCCACGGAGCCCGGCAGCCGGAAGGTCAAGTGGACGGCGGAGGAGAAGCCGCCCGGCGGGGGCCGGGCGCTCAAGTGGGAGGCGGAGCTCGCCTCCCGCAACGACGACGGATTCGACCGCAAGTGGAGGTGGGAGGCCAAGTCCAAGGGCGGCGCCGGAGGCAAGACCAAGACCAAGTGGGGCACCGAGATCAAGGGCAAAGGCTCGCTTGAGCCATGGTCGTATGCCTACACCTGGGAGGAGGACTTCACCGCCTCCGACGACGACGAGGATGAGCTGGAGGTCGAGGAGCGCAGGCCGGAGAAGCCCAAGAAGATCAAGGCCGCCGCCAAGGACAAGGAGGATGACAAGAAGAAGAAGAAGCCGGCGAGGACGTGCATCCAGATCGAGGAGATCCCCGAGGACAACACCGCCGGCTGCGACGCCATCCGCAAGGTACGGTACTCAGCACAAAAGATGAGATTTTTGCGGGGGTTTGGGTTCTATGGCCCGATCTGAACGAAATGTGTGATTTCCAGTAGAATTTCCAATATATCCAAGTTACCTCTCGCTGGATTTGAGAGAAAATTTGGAATTTTAGAGGATGCTAGTGTCCGCACTCTAGATCTGTGCTTAGTACTGGCTACAGATTGACTGAACTCTGCTCTGAATGATATCAACTTGAGGATTCTGCTCCCTTGCAATGCACTACTGTCATATGTGTACTGACCGCCTGACATTTGTCTCTCTTTCTGATGATGCAGGCCTTTGCCATGGGGAACGGCAAGGGGAAGGCCAAGGAGTTGTCGCCGCAGGATGCCGTGCTGCTCATCCAGATGAACTACAGGGCGCACCTCACCCACCGCTCCCAGGTGCTCAGCTGCCTGCGCGATCTCGCCGTCGCCAAGGCCAAGCTCAAGGAGCTCCGGTCCCTCTTCTACAACCTCTCCTACGGGCGCCGCCTCTCGCACGACCACGAGGAGCGCCAGAGGTTCTCCGAGAAGATCATTGTCCTGCTCCTCACTGTCGATGCGCTCGAGGTGAGCTCCGTCACGGCCTGTTTACAATTGCCGATTGCTGATTGCTGATTGCCATTGCTGTGTTGTGGATTTGAAATTCAGTTACTGCATACACTGGTTAACACTATTACTAGTGAGACAAAAAAATAAATAAATGAAAGCACACAAGGATGATTACCATGCTATTTAGCTCAGCATCTGTCCAACATATGTATGCACTTGAGATGATCTCCATCAGAACCTGTTCGTCATTGCCATGGCTGTGTTGTGAATTTGAAATTTACTTGCTAGTTAGTACAGTACATTGTTGGTTTGAGGATGGTCTATCAGGGTTGTGTACATAAGTATGATTTTCTAGCAGTGCTTTAGTGTTTGAAGGTATTGGTTAGCGATGCATTATAATTGAAAAAATAAATCAAAGCTCACTACAAAGATTAAGATGCTATTGAACATCTGTTCTTGTCACTGATGAGTGTGCATGTATATGTGCTCAACCAAGTATGTAGTTCCTGTTAACACATATTGCACGATCACTTTTTCAATAAATATGGTAGAATGGGTGCCAGCACTCCTCAGTATGGAGATAAATACTATCATATTGACGGGTAATGTTTGATCTCAGTTCTCAGTTGTATCTTCGGTGCTTCATTAGGTCCAAGCATGATAATATTCTTACATTCGGTACTGTTGCTTGTTTCCCAGTTATATCTTATATCGAATGATTTCCATGGTAATGGTATATCAAGTGCAGGGGCCTCTAGGCATTTAAATGTTTGTTTCAGCTTATGGTAGCTGAACTAACAATACCGTGAACATTTCTAAGGCCATGCTGTTATTGAGTATAGTGAAGGAGAATGTAGTCTGTTTCTTGTGATAACTGAATAATTTTCTGTCATTGCCTTTGCCCCTGTAGGATTATGCGTCTGTTCATCAGTTACTGTGTTTATAGCTCTCATTGTTTTATGAACTCGAATAGCATGGGTTGTTTCCTGTTCTTGTGCTACCATTCACTCTTTTATGAACTAACTAGCAGAGTGGCCCGCTCGATGCGTGGGCTAGAACTTTACAAAGTTAAATGGTGAAATTATATTATTTGATTTATCTAAAGGAAAAATTAAAACCAAATATGAGACATTTTTTAATATAAGACTTTGCAAACATAGTTTTTTAGTTCCAGAGTCATGTGCAGACGAATACTCAATTTAAATTTATAATTGATACATTGTGTCATAATCACTTATGTTTTGTAGTTCAAGTGGAAGTCCAAATCAATGGTGGGGATCTTTTATGAAGAAAACAATACTTTTGTTGTAAGATTTTGAAGAAAATAATTAGCCATGTCATATTATCCTAATGTCTTGATTAGTCACAAACCATGTATGTTATCTCTTGGTTTCATCTAGGTGATTCAAATGCTTAACATGCAGTTTCACCTACATGAATGGTACATAGTACGTTGCCAAAATGATGAGCATCAGTTCCAGTTTCCTATAACTGCAAATTAAGCATCTGAATCACCTAGGGCAAACGTAGCATGAACCGGGTAGTGCTTTTATGTAACTTCTATCCCATTGTATTCTTGGGTTTCCGAGGTAAGTACATACAAGGAGCAAGTACGTACAATGTTGTATGTCTCTCGACTATGATCCATAGAATTAGGCGCAGCCATCGTCTAATTATTTTTCATGCTCAAGCAATGTAATCATGCAAAAAATAGTACGTATCTTGTTTGTCAAATATGCGGCCAACCTAGAAACTTCCACCGTATAGCTGTTGCTCCTCCTTCTTATTAAGTTTCTGCATCGTACATGCCATTGGTCCATTTTTTTAAAACCTGTTGCTGGCCTTTTTTTATGGTGTGAGCAGAATTAAGAGATCTCTCTAGAACTGCAGAATTAAGATTTTTTAACTTTACCCTCAATTAAGTACGTACATGATCAATGGAGCCGCGATGCCATCCTGTAATTCTTTTTCCGTTCTCAAGCAATGTTCTCATGGAAGAAATAGTAGTGCTTATCTTGTTTGTGAAACATGCAGCCCAACCTGGAAACTTCCCCCATAGCTGCCGCTGCTCCTCTTGGTAAAAAAAGCTGCCGCTGCTCCTTTTTAACGTTGATCACACCTGTCGCATGTTGTTTTTTTCTTCAAGTTTACCTGCGTCTGGTCTCTTTTTGTGACGTGAGCAGAATTAAGAAATCTCCTTTGATTTGTTGTATAAAGTTTTTTTTACTTTACCTGTCCCTTATTCTTTTTGTGAGACGTGGACAGAATTAAGAGATTTTCTTTGATCTGTTGTACTAAGTTTTTTTACTTTACCTGGCCCTTATTCTTTTTCTGTGACGTGGGTTAAATTAATTGTTCTGTTTTGATTGGCCTATCAAAGAGATCTTTTTTTTGACTAACAAAGAGATCTAGTCCAAGACGTTCTATAGATCTATAAACATGGTATGGGCCAAGGTTTACTTATAAAGATCTAAGGGTCATGTTTTGTTGATTAATAGAGGGTCCACCATATCAATGACCGGATGTTTCTGATTATTGTCGTAATTTCTAGCATATTTATCTTTTTATGGTTAACCCGTTAATTACTTTTATATATAAATAGATATGACTGACTCGTCAAAACCAAATGTGCAGTCCATGTGCGAGAAGAACGGCCAGACCCCTCCGCCGATGCCAGTCATTGCTCCGGCGGGCACGGTGAGTTTCATTTGAACGGTCATTAGTTACTAGTCTTCACATTTGAGTTGCATCATGCTAACGATACATTGGAAATAATTTTTGGTGCAGCGTAACTCCCGGCAAGCATCGACCGATCCTTCTCCGTCTGCCACTAGCGCGACCGGACCTACACCTACACCTACACCTCCGTGATGACGGTAAGTTTGCCAAGTGTTTTTCTTAATAGAGTTTTGTTGTGATGCCATGTTGTATCTACACATATCATGCATAATGTGTGTATGTTTGAAATGCATCGTATGTGTGGGATTCGACACCTAGTCGTGTGCCTTTGGTAGCCTTCCATACAGGGAAATTCCTCCTAGTGCTTCCACTGAGCCATGGTAGTTCGCTACTGCTCCAGAACACATGGATTGACCGGCATGTGTCCTTCTTTGCTCATGTGTCTGTCCCTACGGGGAAATGTCACGCGGTGTATCACCGAAGTCCTTGTAGCTTGCTACGACTTGGTTGCACTCGCTGATGACCGACACGTGCATTGCTGGGTCATGTATGCCTGTTCCTCTACGTTTGTGCCACCTTGGTTCTATGACTAGTCATGTCGGACCGGCTTCTCTGCCATATGGATACTAGCGACATAATCATATACTTAGCATTTTTTCCTTCAAAATGACTCAATATGCTTAGCTAGCTAAAAAATGACATAATAAGCTTAATTAGCTTCAAAATGACATATTTAACCTAGGATAGCTCTAAAATGACCTATACTTAGCATTTTCCTCCAAAATGACTTAATATGCTTAGCTAGCTTAAAAATGACATATTTAACCTAGGATAGCTCTAAAATGACCTATACTTAGCATCTTTTCCTCCAAAATGACTTAATATGCTTAGCTAGCTCTAAAATGATATAATATGCTTAAGAAATGACATATTTTAGGTCCTAAATGACTTCATATGCTTAGCTAGCTCCAAAATGACATAATAACCTTACTTAGCTCCAAAATGACCTATTTAACCTAGGCTAGCTTTAAAATGACCTATACTTAGCATTTTTTCCCTTCAAAATGACTCAATATGCTTAGCTAGCTCAAAAATTACATAATAAGCTTAATTAGCTCCAAAATGACCTATTTAACCTAGGATAGCTCTAAAATGACCTATACTTAGCATTTTTCTCTCCAAAATGACTTAATATGCTTAGCTAGCTTCAAAATGACCTATTTAACCTAGGATAGCTCTAAAATGACCTATACTTAGCATCTTTTCCTCCAAAATGACTTAATATGCTTAGCTAACTCTAAAATGACATAATATGCTTAAGAAATGACATATTTTAGCTCCTAAATGACTTCACATGCTTAGCTAGCTCTAAAATGACATAATAACCTTACTTAGCTCTAGAATGACCTTAGCATGGTTTACACCAAAATGACTTAGTATGCTTAGCTAGCTCAAAAATGACATAATAACCATACTTAGCTCCAAAATGACCTATTTTACAGATATAAGTTGCATCATAATAATCTTCACATTTTAGTTGCATCATAATAATCTTCTTCTAGTCTTCTTCTTCTAACTTTCTTCTTTCCCATTTTACAGATTTGCTTAAGATCACGGAAGCTTGGTTGATGGAGTTCTTGTATTTAGTTTTTGTTTTGACTTTGTGAAACTTGCTACCTATGGATGAAACTGTGTAATATTGATGAAACTATGTATATGTACGGATGAAACTTGCTACTATTGGTAACATGTATTGGATATATGTGTTCATGACTATTGGTAATATGTGGTGAATATGCTATATTGGTCATATAAATATATTTGTGTTTGATTTTCTGTGAAAATGAATTGATATAAGAAAAAACAAAATTAAATGGGGCAATATAGTCACTTTGCCATCTGCTGGCAGATGGCAAAGAGCTTTGCCATCAGCTGGCAGATGGCAAAGAGGCCACGTGTCATCCACATGTAAAATTTGGGCTGGCCTATTTGGGCTCTTTGCCATCTGCCAGCAGATGGCAAAGCTCTTTGCCATGTGCTGGCAGACGGCAAAGCATGCAGCCTTTGCCATCTGCTGGCACACGACAAAGAGCCGGCATACTTTGCCATCTGCTGGCAGACGGCAAAGAGCCTGCAGCCTTTGCCATCTGCTGGCTGACGACAAAGTATGCTGTTAGACTTCTAACGAGGCTAACCCCGTTAAGAGGCTTTGCCATCTGCCAGCTGATGGCAAAGCCACAGGCTCTTTGCCATCAGCCAGCAGACGATAAAGAAGCCTTTGCCGGCAGGGTTTTAGACAAACTGTTTGCCATCTGCTAGCAGATGGCAAAGCCTTTGCCATCCGCCGACCATGCCTTTGCCATCTGCCATGGCAGATGGCAAAGTGCTAGATTCCAGTAGTGTAAGCAATTTAGAATAAGCAGGTATGGTATGAAGGCAGGTAACAAAAAAAAGCTATGCGTCAGAATAGGATCATACAAAAGCGGTAGTAGTTCTAATGCAAGCATAAGATAGAAGGGAATGTGCAATATCGGAATGAACAAGGGGGGTTTGCTTGCCTGGAAGCTCAGCAGACATATACGGATCTTCAATGGTGAAGTAGTCGATCATTGGTTGAACCGCGGTCTCGGGGTCTACCGGATAGAAGTAACGGAGGGGAAACACAATAAATAATGGAGCAATCAAAGCATCACAAAGCATAAACATGGCAATACGCGGTGCTAGGGGTGACCTAACACAGTGCTACATGCTACATAAGAAGCGGGAAAACATGCAGGAATTTTTTCCCGGTGTCTGGCATTTTTCGGATGGACGAAAGAAGGGGGCAAATCCATGTTCAACATGCTAGGGGCATGTGACAGATGAGCGGACCGCGTATTCGCATTCGTTGGATTTTTCTGAGCAACTTTCATGTATAAAGTTTTTTGATCTGAGCTATAGTTTATTTTTTATGAATTTTCAAAGTTTTCCCAATATTCTGGAATTATTTTAACTACTTAGTTCGACAGAAAAGGAAAATATGACTCATCAAGGCGTCATTGTTGCATCAGCGGTCGACAGACTAGTTGACCAGTCAACGGGGCCCATGGGGGACACACGGGGACTGGGCGATGCCCAGTAAGCCGTTGACTGGGTCAACAAGGCCAACCAGGCCCCTGGGGCCACTGGGTAGTGTCCTAAAGTGGTGGGCCCGGTCGGCCACGTCAGCACCGGCGCTTGTGGAGACTGGCGAGCGCTCCCGCGGCAGAGAGGCGCCGGATCTTGCTGAAATCCAGGTCCGGATGATCCTTCGGGGCGCGGGACCCCACGTTCGAATGCTACCGCAGTGGCCCATCGGCCGGTGGCTGCGGCAGGGGCTAGGACGCCCTGTAGAGGTGACAGCGGCGAGACGAGCGGGTGCGGGCCGGTGCGACCGTGGCCAGGGGGAACACGGAGGTGGCTGGAGGTGGCCGCGACAGCAAGGGCAGGCGACGAGCAGCGACTAG